TAGATATACAACACAAAAAACTTATGGGGGGGTATATCAACCCCCACCCCGCGCCCCCAGCCCCCGGGCAGCGGGGGGGGGGATTTCGGGGGAGTTGAAATCCACACCTCTTAAAGTTGCTGAGGTTCAGAAACACTGGTATAGACACTGCTAATTCAATATCTTTTGAAGGAACGTATCGTTGGTTTCCAAAAATCTTTTGACAGATGGGTGGAAATTGGGGAAGGACGGGGGAAAAAGGGGGAGATCGATGCTGAGGACTTTCCCGTGGTTTAGGTTGCTCCTCAACCCTGTGCAGAGGGCATTAAAAAAGTGAAAAAGGCCGTCCCTTGCGGTCTGGGAAAAAGTCCCGTCCTGAATGTCACAATCGCTGGATTTTAGAACGTGCGGCGCTTCTGCATTCCAGAACGCGCGTCTGAGAAAATCGGAGAATAGGTGAGCGAAAGCCTCCGGGCCTGGAAACGCTTTCCCTGTTTCTTCCCTCCTGCCTCCTGCACCATCCTTGCCGGCGCTCCGATCCGTGGGGCGGGTGGGGAGCCCCTCAGAGAGCTTCCCTTCCTTCATGGCTGCCTTTGCCTTCCCGCCGCAGCCCCCCCCCCCCAATGGGAGTTTTTGCTGCCCCGACAAAAATCTTGCAGCCTGAACATAGGGAGGCTGGCTTCTAGAGAAACGGAGGCTTTTAAATTGGTTGGCTTTTGTTGATCCAATTAATGGAACAGGAGAAGCAGCATACAGTACAGGCAAAAAGAGGATTAACGGCGTAATGGAACCGCAAATTAATGATCTTCATAAGGGGGAAAGGGATGGAAATTAGCCACAGTTGGGGTCACGTGGCCACTGAGTCTCAGTTCAGTTTCTTTCTTCCCGGTCCTTCCAGAACAGCCCGGGGGTGGAAAATAATTTCTGGGTGCAGAATTTTTGCTTAAACCAAGTTATCGGATCCTTGCCCATCGTGGCCTCTCTCTGGCCTGCTGAACGTTGTCTTTGCCGAAATAAATCACGCCAGATTCCTCCTGCCTCTTGGTGTCCCTCGTCTTCCTCTTATCAGCTGAACTGATAACCCCAGGAGAGAGTCGCCCTGCATCCCGCTCTTAAAAAAAGAAAAAAAGTCCTGGACTTGGGACGGATTTAATGCTGGGAAGCCGACTGACCTTCCTTGCCCCCCGCAGCCTCTCCTGAACCACCCCTGTCTCCTCTCCCAGCTGAACTGTAAAAATGCTGCCCTTGGAAAGGACGCATGGATCACGATGACTCGGCATGCTCCTTGTACATAAGGAGTGCGGCTGGCTTTTGTGACTGCGTCATTGCATTGGTGTGTCTTGGGCACAGCTGCCTGCTTAAGAGGCGAGCTCACGGTGCCCCTCCAGTCGAATTTCAGGAAGGAGGAGAGCAGGTTTGGAACAGGCTCCAGCTAAAAGCTCAGGTTGCGCTTGGCTGAAGCATGTTCCCTGTGCTTGATGTGTACAGATCTGTGGTCTTATGGTTAGCTCAAGGATGTATGACCAGACTGTAGCGCTGGGTGCAAACCTGGCTGTTGACTCGCGAAGGAAAGCAGCAGGAATCGCACGCCGTCGGCCCAGCCTTCTGCTGTCCGGGGCTGTTTTTATTATCCTGGCTGGGGATTCTGGGAGATGGAGTCCCGACGGATCGTTTGAGCATCAGAATCGGGAAGAGTGGGCTGGGTGGAACGTCATCTGTGCGTAGAGAAGGACCCAAGCTGAACCTCCATGGAAGTCCAAGGAGATGTTGTCTGAACTCTTTGAAAATCTCTGCCAGCCATTGGGTGGGCCCATGTGCCCTGCTCAACCAGGGTTTCCCAACCGTGGCCATTTCCATCAATGCGGACTTCAAATCCCAGAATTCCACTACCAGCACAGCCCTTGAAGAGAATTCTGGGAGTTGGAATCCACCCACCTGGAAGTTGTTGGGAAACCCTAAATTAAACCCTCGAGTGTTTTGCTGTAAACTTAATGGGCTGTGTGAACCCCGCCGTTCCAGTCAATAAACTGTAGTCCTTCTCAAGATGTGTCGACTTTAAAACCCGGAATTCTCAGCAGTGGCCATGCTGGCAGGGGAATTCTGGGACTCGAAGGCCAGACTCTCGAGGCAGTGGCCTCAAGCACGTAAGGTCCTGTGCTCTGCTGGTTTTTGGAGAGGCCGAAACCCTTCTGAAAAATCTCCCCCGTCTT